AAAATCAATCCTGGACCAATACCGCATGGAAGGCTGGGAGAGAAGCTCGGAAGCTACCTCCACCGCACCACCAGAGGGCACCACCTAGTAAAATGCCTGCAAGTGAAGGTCAGTCAACGGGGCCACATACAAACCTGATGCCGAGGTTAAACAAAATACCCATCTGTTATCTTTGTGGAGAAGAAGGCCATACTAAGCCGGTGTGCCCAAAGAACCCAGCTAGATTCACACAGATGTGCTTTGTGCCACGACAAACGTTAACATCTACGGATGAGAAGAGTACAAATACTAAAGTGATTTCTGTGAAAGTGAATGGGAAAACTGTAAAAGCCCTACTGGACACAGGCAGTACTCAGACACTGGTGCATATGAACTATGTTCCAAGCAATCTCATTTGCACTGAAGACACCATCCCCATATGCTGTGTTCATGGTGACGAGAAACCTTATCCGACTGCTGATGTGTACATTGAAATCAAAGGACAATCTTACCTGATGAGTGTTGGAGTAGCCGATAACTTACCTTTTCCAGTGGTTCTCGGTGAAGATATGCCCATCTTGTATGATTTGATAAAGCCCACAAAAAGCTGCAATGTGGTCACAAGGGCTCAGTCAAAAAGGTGTGACGAATCACCTGCTCTTAGTGCTTTACCTTTTTATGACGCAGAGCTGGAGGCGAAACCCGGGAAGTCCAGAAAGCCACGCAGTCAGAAAAGGCAACAGAAATTCCATCACACTGTTGTAACGGCACCAGGTGAGCTGGATTCACACCTGCCCTTAAAGTATAAACTTCCAACCAATATTGTTGAAATGCAGCAAAGTGACCCAACCCTGTCAAAATTGCTTCTAAAGGCTAAAGAGAGACTGAGTTTGGATGGAGACTCTACAGAGTCAGCGGGAGAATTTCTTACAAAAGGACATTTTATATCGTCAGCAAGGTCAAGTCAAACAGCTGGTAGTGCCACAAACTGTCCGAGAGGTTATACTTGCCTTGGGCCATTCTATTCCTTGGGCTGGCCACCTGGGGAAACATAAGACCATGGCACGTATCAAGCGTCATTTTTATTGGCCTGGCCTACGCTCTGCAGTTGTCCAATTTTGCAAAAGCTGTCCTGAGTGTCAAAGAACCACTCTCCGAGCTCCCACTAAAGTTCCGCTCCAGCCTCTCCCAACAGTAACAATTCCGTTTGACCGCCTTGGAATGGATGTGGTTGGTCCAGTGGAGAAAAGCAAATCAGGAAATCGATTCATGTTGGTAGTTACAGATTATGCCACAAAATATCCAGAAGTTTTCCCTTTACGCAATGTGAAGGCAAGAACTGTGGCTTTTTCCCTCATCCAGCTGTTTTCCAGAGTGGGATTCCCAAGCGAAATTGTGACTGATCAAGGAACTAACTTTATGTCTGAACTTTTGAAGCAGGTCTACAAATTGCTGGGTATTCGCAGTGTACGGACAACCCCCTATCACCCACAAACGGACGGCTTGACAGAACGGTTCAATCAAACCCTCAAACAAATGCTTCGTAAGTTTGTGAACGACACTGGTTCCGATTGGGATCAGTGGCTCCCTTACCTCCTTTTTGCCTATAGGGAGGTACCTCAGGCCTCCTCTGGGTTTTCTCCCTTTGAACTGTTATATGGACATGAAGTGAGGGGCCCATTGACTTTGTTGAAGGAGACATGGGAGGGAGATCGGGGGAGGGGGGAGCCCATTAATGTAATTTCTTATGTCATTCAGATGCGTGAAAAGCTGCAAAAGATGAGTGATCTGGCTCAGGAGAACATGAAAGCGGCACAACATGATCAGAAGAGGTGGTACGATCGGGCAGCACGCCACAGAAATTTGGAACCTGGAAACAAGGTATTGGTCATGTTGCCCACCAGTGACAGCAAACTCCTAGCAAAGTGGCAAGGGCCCTATGACATCACAAGAAAGATTGGCCCCACCACATATGAAGTCTCCATGCCTGGGCGTCATCGCTCCAAAAGAATCCTCCATGTTAACCTTCTCAAGGAGTGGTTTCCCAGAGAGGAGAAAATGGCGGAGGTGATGCTGATCCGGAAGGTGGAGGAAGAAGACGAGGTGGATGATCAATATTTACCTATAACTCAACGTTCCCATCTTGATATTTCTCACCTCAGTGAAGAACAAAAATCCCAGGTAAAGCCACTCATTGATAATGTGTTTTCGGAATATCCGGGCCGAACAAGTGTGGTGGAACATACGATTGTACTGAAACCTGATGCACCCCTTAAGCGTATGAGTTACAGAATACCTGAGCGGCTCCTGGTGGCGTTGAAGAAGGAAGTGGATCTAATGCTTTCCCTGGGAATCATTCAGCCATCAAAAAGTGAATGGTGTAATCCTGTGGTGCTGGTTCCTAAAAAGGATGGGGCGATCAGGTTCTGTATAGACTTCAGGTACTTAAATTCTGTCTCAAAGTTTGATTGTTATCCAACCCCCCGAGTCGATGACCTGATTGGGCGACTGGGAAAGGCCAAGTACCTCACCACCATTGACCTCTGCAAAGGTTATTGGCAGGTTCCCCTCGCACAGCAGTCACAGGAGTTCACGGCCTTCCGCACACCCTGGGGATTGTTTGAGTTTACGGTTCTGCCGTTTGGTCTCCATGGCGCCCCAGCAAGCTTCCAACGATTGATGGACCAGGTACTGTGTGGTCATTCAGAGTATGCCTGTGCTTATCTGGATGACATTGTTATTTTCAGTACCACCTGGGGGGAACATTTGGAGCATCTGGCAAAGGTTCTGGGAGCTCTAAAGGCAGCTGGTCTCACATTAAACCCAGCAAAGTGCTCTCTGGCCCAGGCTGAGACCCAGTACCTTGGCTTCATAATTGGAGGTGGGGTAATCAAACCGCAGATTAAAAAGATTGAAGCGATTGCATCTTGTCCATTGCCACAAACTAGGAAGCAGTTAAGGTCTTTCCTAGGGATGGCCGGGTTTTATCATCGCTTCATCCCACAATTCTCTGCTCGAGCGGCACTTCTGACAGATATGACTGGCTCTCAGCAACCGAATCAGCTGAAGTGGACAGAAGAGAGGATAGCTGCGTACAAGGACATTCAACAAGCCTTGAGTAAGGATCCAGTGTTGCTCTGTCCGGATTTTGACAAAGACTTTGTTTTGCAAACAGACGCGTCGGACCGGGGCATTGGAGCGGTGCTGCTGCAAGGACCGCCGGAAGACAGACACCCGGTTGCATACATAAGCCGCAAGCTGTTCCCCCGGGAGGTGCGGTATGCAACCATTGAAAAGGAAGCTTTGGCCATAAAATGGGCGCTGGACTCCTTTAAGTATTATCTGCTGGGACGTCAGTTCGTCTTGCAGACAGACCATAAGGCTCTGCAGTGGCTGGAGAAGATGCGGGACACCAATGGGAGAATCACCAGATGGTATATCGCAATGCAGCCGTTCAGATTTGTGGTCCAGCACATTCCCGGAAAGGAGAACCACACCGCTGACTATCTTTCCCGCAGCCACAGTGAACTTTTTGAAGAGGGGGGGTATGTGAGGGCTGACTCCTCCCTCACAATTGGAGCTCACACTCCTGTGAGCTGACTCCACCCACTCCAGCTGAGGGTGTTACCTCCAGGCTCCACCCTATGGCCTGAACCATGGCAGGTCCAGAAGAGGGGATGTTTGGGGAGATTCATTTGAGTTTATATTCTATATTAAGTATAAGCATATATTAGCATTTTATTATTATTATTATTATTATTATTATTAGTCATATTATTAAAATTAACTTTATCCTTAATTAGTTAAGTAAATGTATCTGTTTTGTGTAGTCTTGTTTACCCCCTTTAGTTAATAGTTGGTCTGATCATCCAGCTTAAATGTTCCCCTGGTGTGTCTTGTGGGAGGTCAGTGTTTGTCATGTTCAGTTGTACATTTGATTTTGGCCTCATTTATTTGTATTGTTTGGCTCATTTTTTGGCTAATTAAAAAGCCTTAGTAATTAAACAGTTTGTGTGTTTCCTGCTACACCATCGGTCCCTTACAATAAGATAAGATAAACCTTTATTAGTCTCACAGTGGAGAAATTTCAGTGTCATCGTTGCGAACATTACAGTACAGCAGAGAAAGGAAATAAGAGCACTCAGATTGCACACATCAAAGTCTATTATTTAAGATAATAGACAATAAATTTAAGATAAAATAAAATAAACTTAAAAACTTAAGATAAACTCTGGGCTATAATTGCACTTGGTTCGGAGTATTTACAGATGTCTATATTATACATTAGCAGTGGAGAATATGAATATGAGCAGAATAAACATCAGAAATAATATCAACAGGTAAAGTGACTTGAATGGGAGAATTATCAGATGGACATGTAATAATACAGTAAGATATCAACAGGTAAAGTGACTGGTGAAAGGCAGAATTATCAGATATGAAATAATACAGTAGTACTGATAACAGTAAATATCAGATATGTAATACTGTAGTAGTACTGATAACAGGTAAAGTGACTAGTGAAAGGCAGAATTATCAGATATGAAATAATACAGTAGTACTGATAACAGTAAATATCAGATATGTAATACTGTAGTAGTACTGATAACAGGTAAAGTGACTAGTGACAAAGTTACTAGTGAATTATCAGTGACACTTGTGCAGACTCAGCAGTTCCTGTTACACATTCTTGTTGTACAGTCTGACAGCAGCAGGAAGGAAAGACTTGCGAAACCTCTCCTTCACACAGCGAGGGTGAATTAGTCTGTCACTGAAGCTGCTCTCCAGAGCAGAGAGAGTGTCCTGCAGGGGGTGACAGTCATGGTCCAGCATAGATGTTAGTTTGCTCAGGACCCTCCTGTCCCCCACCTGCTGCACTGTGTCCAGGGAACAGCCCAGGACTGAGCTGGACTTCCTGATGACCTTGTCCAGCTTCTTCCTGTCCCTCTCTGTGATCCTGCTGTTCCAGCAGACCACACCGTACAAGATGGCTGATGCCACCACAGAGTCATAGAAGGTCTTCAGGAGTGGCCCCTGCACTCCAAAAAGACCTGACACATCTGGTGTGAGCCTCGGTCAGTGCAGATGTGCTGAAGCAGGACCACAGCTCTGTCAGTGCAGATGTGCTGAGGCAGGACCACAGCTCTGTTAGTGCAGATGTACTGAGGCAGGACCACAGCTCTGTTAGTGCAGATGTGCTGAGGCAGGACCACAGCTCTGTTAGTGCAGATGTGCTGAGGCAGGACCACAGCTCTGTTAGTGCAGATGTACTGAGGCAGGACCACAGCTCTGTTAGTGCAGATGTGCTGAGGCAGGACCACAGCTCTGTTAGTGCAGATGTACTGAGGCAGGACCACAGCTCTGTCAGTGCAGATGTGCTGAGGCAGGACCACAGCTCTGTCAGTGCAGATGTGCTGAGGCAGGACCACAGCTCTGTCAGTGCAGATGTGTTGGAAGGAATTTGGGCCACATTCCCTCGTTCTGTTGTCGAAAGCCGAGCGCAGGTTCCTACGCTGTCGTGTGTTGAGACTGCTGCCCTCTGCTTAAGTGCATGTGTTCTTCTTTCCCAGACAATTGTAAGTTAATGTTTGTACATATTTCTACAGTAACATAATGAGTCCATCTTCCTCATAAGAATCTTGCGACGCTGGTCTTCCTTGGCACAGACCCCAGGTCGACCTGTGAGGTGAACCAGGATAACTCCCCCCGGTTCCTTTTTTCTACTGCCTCTTTGATCCAGCACTTGCATTTATTGGTCTCTTGCTTGAAGATCCCTGTATCGTCCCAATCTATAAGATCTGATATTGTGTCCAACTGTCAAACAAAATGAACCTTGCAAACCAAGCTGCAGATTTATAAATGAATAAGACAACATGTTTACTTTCTAAATCAGAGGATGTTGCCAGTACATGTTAAAGTTTAGTAAATGGGATGAGGAGAGGTGCAACAGCGAGAGGTGGGATTCTCTCACAGAAAAATAACTGCTATTTTATTGTAGCTGCTGTCTGCTAGAGTTTTTTATAAACTATATATATATTATACGAGTATAATTGGATAATTGGAGTTGAAAATGTTTTACAAATGTATGGATGTGAATAGACAGGAATGAATGTGAAATATGGGAAGCTGTGACAACAAATGGAGAGCTTAGCGGAGGCCATGTATCCATAACGAAAATCAGACTTTTCTGTGGCTCAAGCTAAAACATTTATCCTTTCTCAGCCTTGAGCCGGATCCAGACTCCCTCTTGGTTTGCGTCGGGCCGAGAAACTACAAACATATCACAGTCCATTCAGTGTGAGAAAAGATTGAGAGACTGTAGCCGCCCCACACCAGGGTAGAGTTGGCCTTTCCTGGTGGGACAGTGCAGACTATAGTTCAATGGGAACAGTGGGGTGGTGTCTGCCATGTGTGGGTCCCTTTGAAGTGGACTGTTTACACTGCACCAGGCCAAATTCCTTCCACCAATTGAAACATTTCAGAGGGAGGGTACTGCTGGTTCTGCTCAAGACTGACAGCTCTGTGCCTCAATGATCATCAACTTAAGAGACCGTGTTTTCGACTTTAAAAACTACAGGAATATGTTGTAATGTTGTGTTTTTTTTTTTGTATAGCGCAAATCCCAGACAGCATGACTAAAATGCAATCCATAAGAAGATTCTGAAACTAGTGAAGTTCTTTCTGCAATGGAAATTATGTAGAAAGAGGATTACCAAAGTGGAGTCCAGGGTCTTATAGATGTACCCCTCACATCTACCCATATTTTAGAATAATTGGTATAAAACAAAAACAAACAAAAACAGTCTGATCAGATTGAAGCCTAAGGGTTGTTTTTATTGATCTTGGTCTCAGAGCTTAAGGCTGATGCAGACAAATGGAAATTGGCAAAAACAAGTTGTAAAATTTCAAGCCAAAGCTTGAAATTGTTTGTCGACATTCTGCACTTGTATTCGTCGCACAGTTGGGGAAATGTCAGTGTTGCATCAACAGTTACGAAACAGGGATGAGGAGCACACAGCAAAAGATACACTACCGTTCAAAAGTTTGGGGTTGTCCTTGTTTCCTTATGTCCTTATTTTTGAAGGAAAAGCTGTAGATAACTTTAAACTAGTCTTAACTGTAAAGAAATACACTCTATACGTTGCTTATGTGGTAAATGACTATTCTAGCTGCAAATGTCTGGTTTTTGGTGCAATGTTGTAATTGCTGCAAATGGATTATTCTTTGACGAAAGCAAAGTTGGATGTAAAACAAATCTTATTTAAAATACAAATCATTATTTCTAACCTTGTCAATATTTTCTATTCATTTCACAACGTATGGTGGTGAATAAGTGTGACTTTTCATGGAAAACACTTGGGTGACCCCAAGCTTTTGAACGGTAGTGTAGGTGAAAAATAACTCTATACTATACTAAAATAAAATAGAATCTCTAACTTTAGCCTAATAAATAAGCAAGTATAAAATCTCCAGCTTTAGAATGATAAAGAATCCAGTGTAAAATCTTGAGCTTTTGCCAAATAAAAAGGCAAGTAAAAAATGTCCTACAGTAGTATAAAAATAAAAGTTTAAAATGTTGTATATTCTAGTGCAAGAAATAGTTATGCATCTGAACATGTGAGAAAAAGAAGAAGAAGGTCCTTTATTTGTCCCACAAATGGGGAAATTTCAGTTGGATGCATACACATCGCATACACACATCGGGCAAGACACCTTGCCTTAGCACGAGGTTGGGGTCTGTGTGGAATGTGCAGAGAGAGGACGACGGAGGTGAAAACAGTTCTGGTCTAATGCAGATCTCCAGAGGTCTGCGGCTGGGGGCTGGGGTACTGGTACAGGGGCTGCCGGGGCGTGGTGAGGCCCCTGAGACCCCCCTCACACTCTGGGCCTGTGCGTGATAAGACATGTATTGTATTGTTCAGGCCTGAGAAGTGAAAGTCCCACTTTCTTAAGTTGAACAAGATGGAACCGATAGCGTTAATGAGGTCGTTAGAGCCGAGGCTGCGCTGCTCTGTGGAGATAACGTGGCACGAGCCTCAGTCCAATCCATAGGGACCACGGTGCTTGTATTTATAAATAATTACAGTTAAATGGTTTTAAACCTTTGGCTTGTCTTTGTGGAGAGAATAGAATTAAAGAACTGACCTAACGACCCTTTAAACTGCAGTAAATTTTAGTAGAGATGACATGTGTTTGTGATAATTCATGACACCAGTGGATTGAATTTAGTTGGAAAAATATAAAAATTCTTATCGCTAGTTACTCCCAAGTGTTTTTGATTTACAGACCATGAGTGTAATGTTTCTGGCTGTGATTGTGTACTTTTTGGAATTGGGGATGTGCAGCCTTACTCGAAACCTTCATTTAATTTCGGTGACAAAGCCTCTGATGTCTGCACCCAAAATGGTCGTTTTTGATCCTCATATTTTTATATCCTTTGAACAAGATCTAGTCCTATTAGTGAATCATGAAAGAGATGTTTTTGTGTGTTTAATGCGCAGCAAAGTAAAGCTAGTGGTGAAAAACTATGGGTAAATTGAATAGAGAAAACAGAAATTACATAAGGATTGTTCACAATACAGCAGATCAGAGAATGGAACTGTTTAAACACAGGAAATGCAATAAAAACAAACCCATACAGTAGGAGCTATTGGTCCATATAGAGATGGAGATGACCACTGTCCATAACAGTTAATAATCGTGCATAAATCATCATTACTGTCCTTAGACCCTTAGGAGCAACTCAAAAACCCAGTTGAAAAAAACGAGAGAAACCTGAAGGAGGCCCAAGTAAAATTTCAGGGTGCTTCACAAGTAGATGTTCATTTTGATTTCATTTAAAGTAATAGTAGCTTCATAATTAGACCTAATGAAAGCACAATCATCCTGCTCCGGACAGTGGACAGAATAAAAGTCTGTCAGAGTTAGTTCAGACCAGCGGCTCAAGCAGTGTGCCCTCGGTTATGGTGAATCTGCTCTAAGTCAGTGTGCAGACAAAAGACTAATGAAGAGAGCAGTGGAATGAGTAGACTGAAGTCTGTGGGTCAGGGATCAGGAGCGGTCAGGGAGGGGGACATGGGTGGTCGGGGGGGACAGGGTTACAGCAGTCGCCATGCTCATAATCAGACTGATCTAATTAGAGTCATCAAAGAGGGGGCCATGGACACGGGATCTTGTGTCGCGCCAGATAGATTCAGATGCATTTCGAGCTCATACTTTTACAATGTATTTCAATCCGCATAGGGAGGCATAGGGAGGCATTGGGAGCTATAGGGAGGCATAGGGAGGCATAGGGAGGCATTGGGAGCTATAGGGAGGCATAGGGAGGCATAGGGAGGCATTGGGAGCTATAGGGAGGCATAGGGAGGCATAGGGAGGCATTGGGAGCTATAGGGAGGCATAGGGAGGCATAGGGAGGCATTGGGAGGCATTGGGGGAGAGAAGAAAGAGGAAATTCATTAAATGTCGCCAGAACTAATTTGTTTGGTGGATTAAATACATTGATTCAAACAGCTTTGGGAGCTTATTGAGCGCTGGACTTTAAATCCTGTTTGAACAGTCAATGGGGGTAAGAACATCTATTGATCTATTATTGTATTATTACACAAACACTGGTCTTGTACAAGTGTGAAAAGTCTTGTGTGGTTTTTCACTACTGATCCTGAAAATAATTGACCCGACTAGTCTTTCTTAAACTAAACAAATTGATGAAGAGTAAGAAGAAACCAACACTGGCAAGACCAACTTTTGCAAAATAACTTGTTTTTTAACCCTGTAGGAGCCAGAAGTTTTTTCCTAAAAGGCTAAATCTTGACATTTAAATTTCTTAATAGCTTAAAAATGAAAAGAGATAGAGACTTTATGTAAATTAGAGAAATTATTAAGATGGTCCAAAGTTCATGAAGGAACTAAATGTAACCATCTAATTCGCATATTATGACTTCATTTGGGGATGGCAAATGTGGATTTTCATGAGTATTTTTTTTTCTTCTTTACTGACAGACACAGATCACTCGAACAAGAACACACAAACAAAACTCACTTTACTATACCCAATGGTCAGGGAAATAGTAAAATCAGTCAACCGTGGCGCCGAGAGCTATGTTTTTATACAAATTATAACATTTTGGTCGAGAAGTGATTATCTTGTTTATATAAAGTTTGCTATCTTTTCTTTGGAATGTCATGCTTTATAACCTGAACCAATGTACCAGTATGCAAACACAAGCATACACAATGAATACATCTCGAAGGTGCTCAGAACTGTGAAAAACAAAGGACAAAAAGCATATATTGTGAGCTTGTTATGACACGCTGGTGTGCTACTGAGACCTAAACAATAGAATAAATGGCACAGAGGTCTCACACAGGGTTTTCTAAGCTGCTCCGTGTTCTCATTATGTGGCATCAACCAGAAATCAAAGGTCAACGTGAAGTAAAAACTATAAATGTGCATTGATTGAGCCTGGGTCTATGTAAGCTCGCACTCACGGCGCTATAGGAAAGAATTGAGTTTTCCAAAATCCATGGGCAATCGTGACAAGCACAGGGCCAGCAGGGAGAATGGTTGAAGTTAGGTATTGAGAAAATGACAAAAGCGGCCGAGGGTCTCAGCAGAAGACGGGTTTTCTTGTTGTGTGTGTGTTCAGTTCATATGGTTTTGGACCAAGGCAAAATACAGCATTTCCCCTCCACATCTGCCACGGCGCCACTAGATACTTTTTCTTTGCCCTTCAGAAACTCAAAACATCCAGTGGAAAAGTATTGACGTCTGCAAGGGGCTGTGAGCTGCCTGTTCTGGAGGTTCTTGTGACTAATCCAGACTCTTAAATCCAGCTCTTAAAATAGGCAATGACACTTTTGACCATCCTGGGAAAACCATGTTCCAGCTTCTTCTCTCTGGCAGAAAATAAATCTACATTTATTATTATATCTACACATTTATTCTCTTTTGTTGAAATGTTTTCTCTTTTCCGTATGGCACTGGCTGTATAGGTTCCTTTGACAAAATATCTATATCTGTGGATTAAATCTAACCCAAGCCAAAGACATATCATTTTGATTTAGCTGAGATATGGTAACAGCTTCTTTCCACAAGCTATTGTTAAAGCACTTAAATGATCTTGCACTTGTTATTTATTCAAACTGTTTTTGTTGATCGGTTTCACAGTAACAATTTTTATATTTATATAATTGTCTGCTGCACACCGAGGTACTTTTTCCACATGTATTCCAATGTGATTTTACAGCAAACAGTTTCAACAAAATCGCATAAAAAGTTTAATAATATATGAAGTCTAATTACAAATTCTATCGCCCATGAGAGACATTTATCACTGAAATAACTTTACACTTTCTTTTGATGCACACTGTAAATCATTAGTGACAGCCCCCCTTCCCGTTATACCCTACAGTGACTCCATTTGTCTTTGCAAATCGATTACATCCAAGAAAGTAACGTCCATGTTGGAACGCGTGGACATCCCAACGGACTCCCCCTCTCTCTGTGAACCTACCGTATGGGACTAATATTTAAGGTTCTCCTCTTCTATATGAATACCAACATGCATGGCAATCACATCTCTGTCTGAAGCTATTTGCACATCCTAATGAGAAAGTCGGCAAACAAATGCAAGCTATTACAGCCGGGAGAGATAGTGTGTGTCATGTGCAAATGACTACAACTTAAAGAGTATTCCCCATCTGTTCACACAAGCAAACCTGCAGCAGCCATTGTGTCTTATTATTCAAACAGCTCGAAGGGGAATTGAACACATGTTATTCAGAATACGTCATGTGTGTTAAGAGATTGGGAAAAGTTGGTTTGTTTCAGTATTTGGACAAGTTTTCCTCTGTTTTTTTTTAATGGGGTTTTTAAGAACATTAGCGGTGCAATGAGTGTACCCTGTGGACCTCTTAAGACCTATTACGTGACAGAGAGTAATGGTTTTGTGCTGTGCCTACATGTCAGTAAAGTCTGTGTAACATCGGTGTTTTGTGGTTGAACGCTGTAGGATTATAGAAGGAAAGGGGCGTGGTTAGTGAGGCTGAGGACATATCACTTTCCCTGTTATAATATTTGTGTACATACACAAGGGGGCGACAGTGGCTCAGTTGGTAGAGAATTGGCCTTAGAGCCTGAAGGTCGTGGATTCAAGCCCACCACAAGACCTACTTCAAGACTCCCACTGGTGTCTGCTGTCGTTGTGTCCTTGGGCAAGACACTTAACCCCACTTTGCCTGAAGCCCCCGCTGAAAGATCAAGGCTCCTGTGGACTCAACACCTGCAGGAGGATCAGTGGGGGCTTGTGCTAAGTGTACTGGGTGCTGCTCTGACTGGTGTACAAACATATGTAGTTTGGGGTGGGTGTGTTAAGTGGTTGGGTTGACTCGTACCGGGCTTATGGGAATTTGTTTTTAACCAAACTCTAAAGCAATTTAAGTATGAAAAGCGATTTATAAATATTACTTGATTGATTGATTGATAGGGAAAAACAATTGAAAGGAATGTGCCCCCCCCCCAGCTTTAACAACACTTTTTTGGGACCATGACGAGGCCCCGATGTGTCCGCAAACTGAGGGGTCTGACCATTAAGAGCTTGAGTGAAACCAAATAATGAAAGAACCACATTGAGTATTCTGTTACCATTACTAGAGGGTATCCAGACTTGAATATCAAATCCAAATTGACATTGCATTCCAGTTTAAACATCCTGTATTGAACCCAAACTACATGCACCACACCACGTTTAGTGAGATAAATGATATATATTGTTTTGTGTTCTTAAAGTGATAGTCTGTAAGTCTAAATGAATCACAAATTTTAAGAATTGTATTAAATTGACCTCCTGGCCTTAAATGTTGATATAAAATAAGTCCTTTTATTATTTCTAATATTACGGGTAA